TAGAGGCTGGAAAATGCATGAGAATGAAGTTGCCAAGGAATGCAGCCTTGCTGGCCCATTTTAGGTCTCTTTCTGACCTCCAGAACTTTAAAAAGATTAAGTTTGTATTGATTTAAGTCACTAAGATTGTGGTGCTTGTCAAGGAAACAGTAGGATACTAATAACAAAGCTAGTATGCATAGTGCTACTGAGAACATTCTAGACCATGTCTACCAGTGCACATATTTATGTACCTAGGAGCAAATGCCAGTCTTCCAAGATGGTTGAACCAATTTATGCATCAACAGCGGTAGCATGAGTGTTCTGGCTACATCACATTCTCACAGACACTTGGTGCTTCCTGGGAAAAGGGATTTTTACATGGAGAATAACAGGGCTCAGTTCCCAATGGAAACAGTTGTACCTTGCAGGAGGTTGATGCTCAGAAGTGTTGGTCGATGCTGGTGCAACCAGCCAAGGAGAGGAATGAGAGGGAGGGTTGGTGTCCATTTCTAGCTGGGGAGAGTTAGAAGTCCTCTTCCATGGAAGTGACTGGGATGAATACTGATACACTTGAGATTAATACAGAACTTTCCGCTTGAAGAATTAGAACAGCCCTTATCTCATCTTTGTAATGTCTGATTAATCAAGTGGTGAGCAGTGTGTGGTGGGGAGAAGCAGAGGCTGTATAGTCAGCTGCTCAGAATCTGAAAACTGCAGTTCTCTGAGTGCAGTGACTATAAGCAAGTCACAGCCTCCTGGGAGCTCTGGATTTGCTGTCTGTAAAATGTGTATGATCCTGGCTTCTCTGTGGTGTTCTGGATAGGTGAGAGCCTTAGATTTGCTGCCTATAAATGGGAGACAGAGTCAGTGGTGGTTGTGGTTATTACCGTTACTGGTGTGGCACAATAGTATGGTATACGCCCCTTCACAGAAGTTAGATGTCAAGGCTCAGAGTGTTCAGGGGGCTGAGTGGTTGCCTTGACAGGGTCTGAGGGTGTTACAGTTTGGATCTGGACTATTCCCCAAGGACTCTTGTGTTGAAGGCTTAGTCCCCAATACAGCAATGTTACTAGATGGGGACTTTACGAAGGTGTTTAGAGCATGAGGGCTGTAACCTCATCAGTGGATTAATCCATTTTGATGGGTTTATAATTTTTTTTTTGTACTGGGGATTGAATCCAGGGGTACTTTACCACTGAGTACATCCCCAGTCCTTTTTATTTTTCAGACAGGGTCTTGCTAAGTTGCCGAGGTTCTCACTAAGTTGCCTTGCTGGCCTTGAACTTGTGATCCTCCTGCTTCGGTCCCCTGAGGAGCTGGGATTACAGGCATGTGCCACCATACCTAGCTGATGGGTTCATAATTTGATGCCATTATTGGAGTTGTGGAAATATAGGAGGTTGGGGTCTCCCTGGAGGGAATAGGTCACTGGGGGCACCCCCTGTGTGTGCACTCTCTCCAGCCACCATGAGATGAGCACCTCTTTTTGCCATACCCTCTCTCCACCATGATGCTCTCCCTCACCACAGGCCCATAGCAACAGACCCAGTTGACCATGGTCTGAAATCTTTGAAACTGAGCCAAAAGAAATCTTTCCTCCTTCAAGTTGTTTTTCTCAGGTAATTTGTAACAGCAATGAATTCTGATTAATGAACACAGAGGGTATCACCTGCTTGGGTGGCATCCAGGGAAAGTGAGGTCAGACTCATTATAAACCCCTCATAGGGCCTTATAAAGACACCATCCCCCACTAAACCTGAAATTGCTTTTGAAATTATCTGTTCCTTTGATAATTTATTCTACCACAACTGAGCTTTACTATGTAAAGCAATTATAATATGGCAATTAGGAACAGTATCCCAGGTCAGGTATCTGCTCAAGTCTCAGCTTTACCATTTCCTGTCTGTGTAGTCTCTTCCAGGTCTTAAATTCTTTATTTCCAGTTTCCTGATTTTTTTTTTTGGACCCGGGAATTGAACCCAGGGGCGTTTAACCACTGAGTCACATCCCGAGGCCCTTTTAAAGATATTTTATTTAGGGATAGGAACTTTATGAGTTGCTCAGGGCCTTGCTAAGTTGCTGAGGCTTGATTTGAACTCGTGATCTCCTGCCTCAGTCTCAGAAGCCACTGGGATTACAGATGTGTGCCACCATACCTGGTTAATTTCCTGATATTTAAGGTGAGGCAGTATCAGTCCTTGCCTCCTAGGAAGGTGTGAGAATAGCATGAGATAATTCATGTCAATACCTGGACCCCAGGGATTCCTCAGTGCTGGAGTGCAGAGATCTGTGCCCCCAGCCCTTGTCCATAGACACAGGCTGAAGGGTGATGGTTTGAGGATGGCTGTCTACAGAATACTACTTCTAACACTGGGAGGGAAAAACCCAAAGCCCTGGCCTGGAACGAGACAGCTGTTCCTTGAGAGCAGGCCCTGCCCTCTCATAGTTCCTCTGAAAATGTGGCCTTGAGGAGAGTTCTGTTGGGACATCATTTTGAGATGAGGTAAAAAGTCTCCTTACTGCATTTACTGTGTTACAGAAGAACTAGGGATACTGAACAAATTTGGCTTCCAGGTTGAAATGAGGTGGATAGAGATGGGCACAGCTGTAGAAGTAACCTAGGTAYGGGCTGCTTGCTTTGTCCCCTCACTTTGTCACTGACTATGTTGTAATGGCACCTCCAGGACTCTGCACTCATACCCCACTACCCGTCCATCTCTCTTTCTCCCGGGATCCACATCTTCACTCTCGCCTTATTCCAGGCCCCTCCATAATGTACATGCCTCGGCTGATGAAGTTAGCTGTGATGGAAGCCAGAGCAGTGGCCCCAGACAGGGATCCAGATGCTAAAAATATCTAATGGCGTATTCTTTGCAAGTTAAATAAAAGAATGGCATTGAAGGTAGTGGCAGGGATCTAACACTTACTCTGTCCAGTGCCCCTCAGTTATCTGGTCATATTCACCTGGCATGGAGATTTTATCCAAATGGTGCTTTCATCTGGGAGAGGGTCAGATGGAGCAGAAATTGAGGAGGACAGGCCAGAGACATGGCCCAGCAGCCCTGTAATTCTCAAAGTTCACAACAGCTGGCATCACGGAGCAGGGCCATACAAACAGCAGCAGCTTAGGGGACCATGGATGGTCAAAATTACTCCAAAGCTCCCCTAACCAGCAAGTGCCAGGCTGGAAACCAACACAGGATCCCTCAATATGATCTGCATATCTAGCCCTTCTCGAGTGGAATCTGACAGCTGTTTGGTTGATACTAAATGGAGTCACTGGTTTGTGTTTGGGACCATGTTGTACAAAAGAAATCCAATTTTTGGTGCTAAAACCACAGCAGAATGGCAAGGAGTTCAGTAGCCAAGGCTGAAGAGGGATCCTCAGAGTTATGGTTCACACGCCTTCTGGGGCAAAACATGAGGGAGAGGAGAGGTGGGTGAAATCCTTCATACCACACTGGAGTATTCTTTTCTCTAGCTCTGCCTCTCTGTCTCTGTCCCTCTGTCTCACTCTTAGTCTTTGTCTCACTCCCACACACATCAGCTTGAGTCCTATATTATGCAGTATTTTAAAATAATTTTGTGAATGAAACAGGGTTTCATGGTATGGAACTTTTTCATTTGTGGCATTTGGTTGGTGTTTACAACTCCAAATAATCATTTTGTGATGAGATTCACACCCGGACTTGTACATTCGTTCCCCCACCCTACTCCCCATTCTATGCCAGGTGCTCTAATCTTGAGAGTCTCTGTGCTAGAAGATATCACATGCTTATTGGCATCTCCTCACTCATTCAATACTGATTGAATATGTACTATGCACCAGGTGCTCATGAAATTGCATGTTGTTTACTCAGAGCATGACCAAAAATAATTTTGCTTCATCTGTCTCTATAGATCTAGCATGTCCTATGCTCCAAATAACAAAACTCCCCTTCAGAAGGGCCCTAGTGAGAATATTTAATAGTATTCCCAACTGGGATGAAGGTTAATGAGCTATAAAAACAGATCCCCAAAAGACAGTGGCTTAAATAACAAAGAAATTGCTCTCTAGGTAGTAATTCCAAGGTGAGACAGGTAGCTGAGCTCTGTGCAATCAGTCACAGACCCAGGTGTCTTCTGTCTTGTTGCTTCAGCATTTCCACTTACGTTGGTATACTGTCGTCACCTGCATGGGCAGAGCTGGGTTCCAGCCAGTGGGAAGGGGTCCAAGGCATGCTCATACCTTAAGACTAAGATTGAGAATGGTACCATCTCTTCCTCTCATATTCCACTCACAACTCGGATCTCGGACTACACCTAGCTATGAGGATGCCTGGGAAATATATTCCCTGATAAAACTCAAATTCAGTTTGAGTATCCATCATCTGAAATGCTTGGGACCAGAATGGTTTGAATTTTTACTGATTTTGGAATATGTGGATATTCATGTTTAATTATCTCAAGGATGGGAACTGAGTCTAAATGTGAAATTTATCTGTTTCATATACACCTTTTACACATCCCCCAAATTAACTTTATTTAGAATTTTTAAATCATTTTGTGAATGAAACAATGTTCTGTGGTATGTTGGTATCATGTTGTGGTATCATGTTGGTGCTCAGAAAGTTTCATATTTTGGAAAATTTTGGATTTTAGATTTTGGAGTTAGAAATGCTCAACCTGGGGGCTGGGGATGTCGCTCAAGCAGTAGCGCGCTCACCTGGCATGCGTGCGGCCCGGGTTSGATCCTCAGCACCACATACCAACAAAGATGTTGTGTCCGCCGAGAACTAAAAAATAAATATTAAAAATTCTCTCTCACTCTCTCTCCTCTCTCACTCTCTCTTTAAAAAAAAAAAAAAAAGAAAGAAATGCTCAACCTGTGTCTCTGGAGAAGGGAGAAAGGATTTTGGTGGATACTGGGGAACCTTTGACACATTCTCTTTGAATATAATGCAGCTATTTCTGTGTTTACAATGTGAATGTACCTATTTGTTGGTTGTACCCATAAATGGTTATTTTGCTTTTCTAAGAAAGAAAACCTGGGCCTGCCACACCGAGTCTATGGACAGTTCCACAGCTATGAACCAGCGCATCTGTAGAGGAATGGAAGAGAACAAGGAAAGGTAAATAGATTTCAAAATTCAAAATGTAAAAATGTTTGCAAGCAGCAATCAATGTAGAACAAAACTTGCTTTAAGCTTGTATAAGTCAATAGAAGTCATGAAGAATTTGAAGCGCATGGGGCTCAGGGAGAGGCTCAGTGGTAGAGTGCTTACACAGCATGCATAAGGGCTGGGTTCAATCCCTAGTGTCACCACACACACAAATAAACAAGCAAGCAAACAAATAATTAAGGGATAGCAGAATTTTATGCATCTCCTTTCACATTTCCAATTTCTTACACCATAGAAGAGATGCCATTGTTAAGTACGAGGGAACTTTTCCAAGTCTTATTGGTATAAATAGAGTCAGTATAGTATAAGATTAAATATTTCATTCCAGAACTATGGTTTGTCTCCAAGGTTATAAATTTCCTCCCCTTCTTTTTCCTTGGGGAAGTTCCCAAATACTGTAAAACATACTCAGAATGTTGTGTCTATATTGTGTGTGACACAATTATGAGTGGCCAGTTCTCCAAAAGGAAGCAGTGGCAGACCCTGAGTCCTTTCTTTTCTTTTCTTTTTCTTTTTTTTGATGCTCAGGATTGAACCCAGGGCCTTGTGCAAGTGAGGCAAGCACTCTATGAAGTACTCTATCCTCAGCCCCAGACCCTGAGTCCTTTCTTGACAGCTATATCTCTTTTTTTCCCCTTCTGCCTTCTCTTTTTCTCCCTTAAAAATAAAAATTTATTAAATTCATAATTTTATAATTTGTATTAAATTTATAAATTTTTAAAATAAAAATAGATTTAATTTAATTTTGAATACAAGAAATGCATGGATATGTATTCCTTGTTAAAAGTGAAAATGAAGGACTGAGGTTGTGGCTCAGTGGTCTAGCACAGGTGAGGCACCGGATTCGATCCTCAGCACCACATAAAAAAAAAAAATAAATAAAAACATTTGTCCATTTACTCCAGAGTGTCCATCACATGAGCATCTGCTTTTCTCTTTTTTTTAGTATTGTTTTTATTTTTATTTGTTCTAATTAGTTACACATGACAGTAGAATGCATTTTGACGTACACAAATGCAGGGCTCTTCTCTTAACCCCCTGCGGGGTTGTGAAGAGCCCTTGTTGGATTTCCTGACTTCAGGTGATTTTATCCACTACCACGACTGTCACTGGCAAAAAGTTGAGTATTTACAGTGTCGACCTGTGTGTGGGTCACTTGCTCTGGTTATCTCATTAATTCTCACATTGGCCCTGGAAGGTAAGGAGTGATGGTGTTATCCTGTTTTGTGACCTTTTGGTGATACACAGGAATTTGTTTAAAACCAACCCAGCAGGAAACAAAACAAAACAGAAAACACCAACCCATTGAGTCTCTTACTGGGTGACAAATAGAGTCACACTTGCTGAGTAGTAAGCTCTCCTGTGGACATAGCTTTGGAGTTGGCATGACCGTGTTTGAAGTTGCCCTGGACACACTCAGCTGTTATTCTATATCTGCAGTATTCCCAGAGGAGCAAGAGTGAGTAGGAGTTGAAAGTAGTGACTTTGTCCCCATCCAGCACAAGGACATGGGCTCTTGCATACCATTAGCACCTCTACTCTTAAGCACCTCTGCTCTTAGGCACAGCTAGGATTGGCAGTCTCACTTATGCTTAACTAGATGTTTCTCTTGAAGGGATTTTCCAGGTTGAGCACACTTGTCTTGGGAGTGAATGTACTTTATTAGGACAGATATGCCCACAGAGCTATGGAGGGAGAGCAAGTGCTTTACTTGCCCTTGAAAGACCTAATTAATCACCCTATCCTAAAGTGTTTAGCTTTTTATCTCATTCTAAGATCAAGAAATTGCAGGCAGAGCTGGGGATGTGGCTCAGTGATAGAGCCCTTGCCTAGAGCATATTCGAGGTCTTGGATTCCATCCCTAGCATTACAAAAGGAAAGAAAAGAGTGAGAGAAGGAAGGAGGGAATTGTAGGCAGAGTGCAATTGCAAATGCTTTCCTGTTACCCATCTCAGGTTCTTGGATCCAGAGTTGTAGTGATGAACACTGAACCCATAGAGAATTTAAGCCCAGGCAAGGCTTTATTAGGGGGGTTTGCTTGAGGCAGAAGGGAGGCAGCACATGGGGAACAGGATTCCCAGGCCGGCTCCAGCAAAGAACAAAAGCATACAGCTTTTAGGGCAGCTTCAGGGTAGTAGGAAGAGGCCTTGAGACATAATTACATGTAGGGGTGGGACTTCCCTCATGCCTTGCTACTCTTTTTCATCATATGTCTTCATGCATCACGTGTCTCATTACATCTCAAGTCTCCACCTTAGTATGTGCCTTATACTATACTAATAAGGGAACTGCTGGTTACTTCAGTGACTATTTTATATATTTTTATTATCTGGGTGTTATGGTTTGGATATGAGGTGTCTGCAAGATCATGTGTGGGACAATGCAAGAAAGTTCAGAGAAGAAATGATTAGGTTGTGAGGGTCTTAAACTAATGAGTGAATTGATTCCTGATGGGATTAACTGGGTGATGACTGAAGGCAAAGAGTGTGCCTGGAGGAGACAGGAATTGGGTGTGGCTTTGGGGTATGTATTTGTATCCAGCAAGTGGAGATCTCTCTTTCTGCTTACTGATCACCATGTAAGCTGCTTCACTCTGCTACACTCTGCTACCACAATGTTCTGCCTTAGTTTGAGCCCCAAGGAATGGAGCCTGCTGTCTATGGATTGAGACCTCTGAAACCGTGAGCCCTCAATTTTCCTCCTAAAATTGTTCTGGTCAGATCTTTTAGTCACAGCAGCAAAAAAGCTGACTAAAACACTGGGAAAATCTGATCTTATTTTCAGAACAGTGTAGACCCAGCTTTGTCTGAGTTTAGCTGGCATTTCTGCTGACCACATAGTATCAGAAGGCTGAGTTGACTTTCCCAGCCTCCCATCTCCCAGGTGTGTTACTTCATTCCCATAGCCTTGAAGACTGGCTCGCTTTTTTTTTTTTTCCTCTGTACTGGGGATTAAACCCAGGAGTGCTCTACTACTGAGCCACATTCCCAGTCATTTTTATTATTTTATTTTCAGACAGGGTCTCCTTTATTTGCTGAGGCTGGTCTCAAACTTTTGATTCTCCTGCCTCAGCCTACCTGGGATTTCAGGTGTGTGGGGCCACTGTGCTAGACTAACTGGTACACTTTTAACTCCTAATTTTCTAGTGTAGCTTTAACCCCATAAGACTGAGAGCTAGTTAGGATGTCTTATTTCCCCTAAGAAGTGTTCATCCCTCAGTCCTAATGGGTCCTTTTTTTATGGGGATCCCTGATTGTGCTTTCTCAGCCTACCTCTTACATATTTCAGAGACATAAAATTTGGGACTGGAAGAGATCCTCGAGTCACTGCAGAATCATTGCACGTAACTCTTCATTACAATTTTAAGCAGACAGGTGGAATATGAGGAAGTGATTGCCAAGTTTAAGCTGTAGGAACAAGCATTGGTCCCAGGTCTCTGGGGTCTGGCTCTGGCTCTTTGCACAACATCAAAGCTACCTCTCATAGGATTGTCATGATCCCTCTTGGTTCATGGCTAGAGCTTGTTAGCTAGTAGTACTTGGGAGGAAACCAGCCCATCGATTGATTAATTGRTAATTCATTCAGTGGGCATTTACTGAATACTGCTATGTCAAAAAGATGGGTAATATATGTGTTCTTAGGGAGTTCAGAATCTGATTTGGGAGGCAGTTATGCACTTTCTGAGCAGTGATTAAGTGGAAAATCTCAAATCTCCAGAGGTCAATGAGGATGGTAACAGTATGTATCTACCGCACTCAGTTATTGAGAAATGTTCTGAGTCAATCACAGTAAAGTACCTGGCGTATAGTCAGCACCCAATAAAGGAAGCAGTATTATTTTTTGTTGTTGTTGTTTATTTTTAATTCTGTGTAGAGTGAAGAACCAGAAAGATTTTTCCATTAGGAAATTGATGGACATACATTTTCTGAAATAGTATCAATGTAACAGAGTCTCTTGTCCTACCTGCATTTGTCTTTTTAGGGTCTCTCTTAGGTACTGGAACTGCATAGGGCCAGGTCTCTCTTTTGTTCACTGTTATTTACCAAGAGCTTGGCACATAGTAGTTGCTCATTACTTTTTCTTGACTGATGAGTGTAGAGAGTGGAGTAGTGAGAGACCCTGGATCCTTGAGGTGAAGACAAAGCCAACCAGCTGGTAGGGCCACAGATCAACCTGGGACCAATCCCCCGCTTTCCCAAGGACAGGACCTCCCTGAAAACCCTGTCACACACTGCATCTCCCTCTGTGGGATGCAGTTTCACTCCTGAGATTTATGGACATTTTGCCTTTTGTCTTTTAACCAAGCTATTTTATTGTTGAGAGACCTGTTCTCACAGCATTTACTGACTGAGCAATCATTTCTTCTTACTTCACTTTAGGGTGGGTAACTCACTCTTTAGAGGCCCAAGAACATAGGATTTCTATAAGATAAAGCTCTGGGGAGGGAAGTTTCTTTCTGCTCATGGTGTAGTCATGGAGTTAGGCAGCAGAATTTCTGAAAGTCCAGGCCCTTCCTGTTCATATACCTGTGGTAAAATGGATTCTGACCATGCTAGAAAAACAGTAAGGATTAAGTCCATTCATTCATTCATTAATTAATTCATTCATCAGTTAATACCCCATTACCCTGCAGGCCTCAGCACATAGGAAAATACTCCAGGAAGGGATCAAGCATTCCCTGCAGGGCCTTTCACCTATAAACTATATGCATGTGTGTGTCTTTCTCTAAAATAAAAATCCTCCCTGGTTCATGTATTCCTCAGCATCCCTGGAAGATTAGTTCCCAGACCCTGTAGATATCTGAGGATTCTCAAGTCCCTTATATAAAATGGAGCTTTGTTGCATATAACTTATGCATATCCTTCATTATACCCTGGGTCATCTCTAGATTATTCATAATACCTGATATTATGGAACTCGTTCAAGGACCAATGACAAGAAGAAGTCTG